ATATTATCTAACACCTGTTAGAATGTCTATTACAAAAACATAAGCGAATGGAAAAACAGAAACTCTATTTTTTTGCTGGTGGTTATAAAAATTGGCAAAGCTATTGTGGAAAACGATATGGAAATTCCTCTAGAAATTAATCATGTACCTACCATATGCTCGAATTATTACTTTTTTGAGTAGCAAATGGATATGAAACCAATGTACCAACAAGATTTCTGCTTTACTATTTATTACAGTATTATTCTCCAGATCCAAGTTAAAGAGACAAGCAGTGTCAGCTAATAGAATAATTTGTTTAAAGCATGTAGAATACATATACAATAGAAGATTATTCAGACTTAAAAAGAAACTCTACATCCTAAGACAACATGGATGGACTTGGAAAACATGCTCTTAATGGAAAAAAGCCTAATGCAGAAAGGTAATTATTATATGGCCTCAATTATGAGTGGAATCTAAAGTAGCAAGCAGAGCTCATTGGGTGGGAGCATTGATACTTTGTTTCCCAGGGAAGCAGAGTGGGAGTGATGAAGAGATTCTCAGCAGGTTCAAGTTGCAGTTACAGTATCAATGTGTCTGGGAGTCGAACATACAGAGAACACTATATTACATAATTCATATTTACACAGAAAGTAGATACACACAGGAAGTATGCAGTGATAGCTGTGTAAATTAGCTTGGTTTTTGAATCATTAAACACAATATATGTGCCAGATTATAACATTGCATGCCTTAATTTTGTACACACACACACACACACACACACACACACACACACACACATATATATATATATATAAGTTGTCAATTATTCTCAAAAACATGAAAGATCTGATTTCTGGATTTTGTTAGAATTTACATGCAAAACGAACAGCATTAAATGAGGATGTGGACAGAATAACTCTGATCACTTGAATATGAGATTTCTTTAGTGACCAAATTATGAACTAAACCAAGTTTATCATACTGTGTTCAGACAAAGCCTCTTGTGTATTTTCAAGAACATTTCTGTTCTCCTTTTCAAGACTTTCCAAGATGAGAATCTGTTAGATGCCATGCAACTTGCCCTTTCTAAGTTCCTCAAGTATCCCAGGGACTTCGCAGCCATCTGGAGCTTGCTGCCATGCTGTGATTTCTGCAGGTTTAGTTAACTTTTAATCTCTCCATTCACTTCTTATTATTCTCTCCGTGCATAATTTTCACATTATCTGCTCTTTTCTTTGAACAGTGTATTGAATTTGCCCAATTTATTGCTGAATGTGATTCTGCAAAGACTCACTAACTTAAAAGTTATTTCCCTTTTTCTTGGCTCTTAAAGTTAACTTTATCAGTTGTTGATCAGAAATCAAATCAATCCCTCCAAAGGAACACAACCTGGGGCAGACAGGAGGAGGGTCACTTACTGTTGGATTCACATCAGCGCCTCAGATAACTTTAACCTCTCCATGTATTTACTGTTTATGTTTCCTTAGGTGATAAAGACTATTGACTTCTTTTTTTCTCATATTTTCAAAGCATGAAATATTAACACCAGAAAGAGAATTGTTGAATATGTAATTATGATAGAATACTTGTCCTAAAATCAATGTAGCTCAAGATTAATTCATTAGCAGGCAACCTGTTTGACTGGAACTCAATCTAGTTCCACCATGTAAGGATCTGCCTTGGGCATTCCCGTGCTCTTTTGCAGCAATTGTCAAAGTCGTATATTTGTGTATCTCTGTCTTTAATTTCTTTGAGCTCTGCTTCTTTTATAATTCTTTTATGTCAGCACCATGCCATTTACAGGAAAGCTTACATTCCTGTCATGAATTTGTAAGTAGAATCCTACTCCAACTGAACAGAATGCCCCAAACCTCTCTGCTTTCAAGCAGATGTCTAAGTGAAAGCTTTCCCCTTATTTAAGACTTCTGTTCCTTCCTCATATGAAAGACTTGGTTAGCTGGGCTTTAGCTAAAATTGCTTTAATAGTTGCTATGATTTATATGTTATCACATAGATTAAAGCCACTCGATAATTTCAGATGATAGAATTTTCAACTTTGTTATTATCGCCTTCGTCCAATCAATCATTTTTCATTCATTTGTTGTCTTTTTGTATTAATGCATATTAATTGTGCAGAATAATAGCTATCATTGTGACATTCTCACAGTGCCTATGTTAAGTTACCATTTCAGCATACTATGATATGACCATGAAGACCACAGATTATGCAAACACTGAAGAGCCCACCTGAAAGGCATATAATTTTTACATAAGTGAAAACCTGGGTAAAAGTATTTCAAAATCTTTAAAAATATTTTGTTATTAAATAAAATAACCCCATGATAAGAAAAGACAAGGGTAATGGGAAAAATAGTTCCATAAAAATATTACTATAAAATAGCATAAAGGTAAAGAAAAATATAAATTCAGTAAGCAAATAAAAAAATATAAGGAATATAAGCAGGTTAAAAGACAACTCGCAAATGCTTGAAAAAGCTTTATTCGTTGAACAATTTTTTTTAAATTTTATTTATTTTTTTATATTATGCATATGTGTGTATTGCCTGCATGTAGGTAAGCAATGCCCTTGCCGGATCCCCTAGCTGCCATGTGGGTGCTAGGATTCGAACCTGGATCTTCTGCAAGAACAGCAGGTGTTCTTAACTGCTGATCCATCTCTCCAGCCCTTCATTGAACAAACCTAAAAAAAAAAAAATATTTTATGTGTATGGCCTGCATGTATGTAAGTGCAGCTGTGTCATGCAATGCCCTCAGAGGTTAAAAGAGGTCCTCGGATCCCCTGGAACTGGAGTTACAGATAGTTGTTAGCAGCCATATGGGCGCTGGGATTTGAATCCCGGTATTCTGCAAGAGCAGCCAGTGCTCTTAACCGCTGAACCATTTCTCCGGCCCTCATTGAACAAACTTTTAAAAGCCACTTATTATGTGTTAGCACATGTGAAAACATGCTGCTTTGTGTGTGAGGGGCTAGACAAAAATGCAAATTTACAAATGAAACCTCTGTTCCTCTGAAGAGGCCGGCATGGCCACCTTGGTGTGTGTTGCTGCCCTTTCTCCGAGGTGTTCATCTATCCTCTAATGCCTGTGCTGAGATTTATATTGAAAATTTAAAAATTTAAATCCTTGAATCATAAAAAATGAAAATATAAAAACCGAGTTTTCTTTTGCAGAAAAAATAAAAGCTCTATGGAAGCTAAACTCAAGCAAATCATTATTCTGAGACGTCTAAAAGAATGAGATTCACATCTCATCCATGGCGTTCTGTTGGAGAATGATAACAATTTTAGTTCATGTTAGGGACATAACTGAACCCCAAACCAAGTGAATTTAGCTTGGAAATCTTCAATCCTAATAACGTTGGTTGTGATTTTACTTAGAAATAAGGTGATCAAATTAAAGTTCTATCCTTGGGGTGTACTCAAATCCTATGTGAAGTCTACTCCTTTAAAAAGGAGAAATGTGGACACAGAAATAGGCATCTGGAGAAGGAAGACCTTATGAAGGGACATGGAGGGGTGAGGGTTGGGGGTGGATTCACCTACAAATCAAAGCTTTCTGACAAACAGCTTGAAGTAGAAGAGGCAAAAGGTTCTGGCCAACAAACTTCTCAGATGATGGCTCTGCAATGCCTTCGGTTTGAAATTACTGGTCTTCAGAAATGTAAGACAGACCTATGCCAAGACCCCCTGTTTTGGGGGACTGTTATAACAACCCTAGGAAATGAAGACAATGATTTTGGAGATATTAAGAAAGTATATCAATACTAAAAGAATTCTATTCAAAGAAAATGGTTTGAAATGTGGCCCCAAAATTTTGTAAGGAGCCATGTAAGTTGGACAGAAAGCTGTTCCTTGGGCATTGGGTTGAGGTGAAGTTACTGGTATAAGAAGGGCTTGGTTAAGTCCCAGACAGAGGCACAGCCCTGGGAAGTCCTCAGAGAAGAAAGCACAGGGGCACCTCCACTACAGTTATGTAAGTGCTGGCAGAGCCTGGAAGGAAGGAGTGCAATAAAAGCCGGTCTATCTCCAGGGCCTCTCTAGCAAGCCGCAGAGTGGTGATCAAGCTAGGCAATCAGAAGCCATCCAAGGAGCCACATGCCTACCACCCAGTCTACTGGAGACATGACATTTTCACATATACATCATTGTACTTTGCTCAGATTTACGTCACACATCCAAACTCACTGGTCCCCTAACTTCCAGAAAACAATAATCCTTCTGCTTTCAAGACATATGTACATGTATATGAATATATACATGGTCAAATCTAGTCTTCATGTGCAAGAAAACATGCAACAGTTTTTCTGAAACACTTTTCCTGTTCACATAGTAGTGCTGTGTCTAGTGTGTCTTCTATTATTTGAAATATACACACTTTTCTTGGGATTTTAAGGAAGATGTACTCACTCCCTCTATGATCTGACTTTAAGCAGAAGATAAGTAATTCATGGTAAAAGGTAGAGTCTGTGCTGTTGATATTAAAATTTAATTTCAATCTTTATCTCAATCCACATAATTATTGAAATTTTTGTGCTGCAAACTCTACCCATGGCCTTTAAATCATACTTGTCTCTGTATTCTAGTAGTTCAATGTCACATAGATTTCTTTACTTACAGCCACATAGCGATGAACCAAATGTAACAGAATAATTTATTTTTCCTGATAGCCAATACTATAAGACACAATAAAAAACACAGAAGGCTACCAATTTTCTAAATGCAGGGAAAAAAAGCCCCAAAACAGAAGAAATGAGCTCTGCAGAGGAGCTCAAGCTGGACTGAATGCTGACATTGGATGAGTTTTTGTACCAGTCTGCTAAGAAGGAGGAAATATTTCAGACAGGAGTCAGACCAAAAGAAAGAAATAAGCATGGAACTGATCATCGTATCCAGAAAAACTCAAATCATCTCCAGTTACTGCATCTCAGGAAGGAATGGTTGGAGAAGTATGCAGTTACTCTGGGGAGTTAAGGAGACTTCATTATAATCTTGTCTTTATTGGTGCTACTGAATACACCCTTTTTTCAATATGTAGCTTAGATCTGACAACTCATTACAAACATACGGTGATATTTAAATAGCAGCTTTAATACAGAGAGCCCTACTTGGTGCTTGGAACATTGTCAGATGGGTTTGCTGCAGCCTTTCTTTCTTTGTGTCATGCTGAGACATGGAAGCCCTGATGGAGATGCGTTGGACCCTGCCCTACTGCTTTCTCTTGTGACAGTAAGTGGCCCTCAGTCTAAGTGAGTTTTAAACATGACAAATCATGCTTGTTAAACTGCCTTACATATTAAAAGATGAGTACATTGTACATGGACTCACATCCACTTTTACTAGATTTTGAGAATTGCTTTGAAAAGGATTGTGCGGTAATCATTAATTTTTGTGTTTAACTGAAAACATATTTTATGAGTCTCGAATTTTTGTTTTGAGCTGTACTGTATATCACTGGATGATACTAATATATTTCTGAATTTCAAGCATATTTATGAGTATTATGTAACAGGAACTCCTATCAAGAGAATGATCCATGCTGGAAGCCTTCCTGGGCTGAGCTTCAGGGCTAAAGTCTGATTTTTGGTAATAATTCCATGTTTAATTTATGCTTTCATATCTCTGCTTAGGCCATAAATAACATTGGTTTCATGAATTTATGTAAATGCTGTAAGATGAGCATATTCTCGGTTATTCTTCCCAATAGTGTGCTCTGAGCTAAGTACCATTCTCGTCATGCTGTTTTTGTTGCTGTGTAGTGTGTCCCGGGATAAACACATTGTAATCTACTCATCTGTTCAGTCTTAGGTGGACATTGGCCAATTCTATATTATATTATATAATATATATTATATTATGTCTAT